CCAGGCTTGCTCTAGTGGAGGCAGAGTGACAGGTTGTTGCTGTTGTCATTTTAGTCTGGCAGCGTCTCTCAGGTAATTTCCAGTGGCCACATTCCATCCTGGGAGTAACAGCAGCCTGGAAGGGAAAGGAAGAACCACACGGACCTGAAGTAGGAATGATTTAGTTCCTTGCCAGTGTCTTGACTCACTGTTGTGAAAGCATTTGCCTGTCGTACAGGAGTGTCTTAAATAAGTGTCTTTAGAGCGCCGGTTTGGGACTGGATTATTGAAAGTTTACAGAGTAAACCTGTAGTGAAAACCCCTGGAGAGACCGGCAGACACGAAAATACCCCCTGTTCTTGGTGTGTTCCAGAAATGTGTCAGCTCCTCGTATGATTAGAGAGAGCGTTGTCTTTTTTGCCTTTTTCTTCTCCTCGTTAAGTCAATTTATTTGTGGTGCTGGGACACAGAAGTGGCTTCTCATCTCTCCGTCCTGGTGCTTAGCTTTGGTCAAGGCGAAGAAGGACCCTTGACTCCCTGAACCATGCGCAACGTCCTGGTAGATAATCTGGTCTTCTGCCCAAGCTTTTTCTTTACCCTGGGCTAAAGGTGGCTGGTAGCGCTCTGAAATCTCCCGTAAAACAGTAAAAATCGTTCCCAGGCCTGTTGTTAGGAAGTGCTCTGAGCGTTTCTCCTGCGCCGATGTGACGCGGTGGAAGCGTCGAGGAACTTTGCTGTTTGAGCTCTTTTAGTTTGAACAGCCAACCAATGAGAATAATTGATGTTCATGGGAACTGGGACCAGATGAGCAGTGTTCAGGGTATCTCAAAATCAGGTGTACGTTATCACCTATTGCATCGTCTTCTTATGAGTAGGATGCTTTCCCCAAATATCTAACTCATAGAATCAGAGAATCACAGAAACGTCAGGATTGGAAGGGACCTTAAAGATCATCTAGTTCCAACCCCACCACGTCCTCGTTGTTGTAGGTTTACAAGGCTGAGATTTTGTGAAGTCTTCTGGCGACCACGGAGAAGATGATTTATTTACAGCCGCCTTCACGTGCCGAGCAACTGCTGTGTCTGGGAGAGGGTGATTTAATATTTGACTGTTCCCATCGTGGTTGTTATGGTTAAATCCGGTTCTTCGTTACCCTTTTTCAGCAAACTGTAGATAGGACGATCGTAAGGCGCTGGAAACGTAAACTTCTGCATCACCCAGTTAAACACGGAGAAAGAGTAATTTCTGAGGCATGATTCACCTCACTTGAAGGTAGGGGGCTGAAGTAGCTGAGGTGAATCACGCTCCAGATGTGTCTCTTCCATGCTCATAAAGGAGCCCAGGCGACTGTCGCAGGCGCTCTGTGGTAGACATGGAAAATTATGGGAGAGAAGTCCCTCTCCAGTCTTCAGCTGGGTATGTCTGACCCTAGTGCTAGCTCCCAGATTTGAAACCAAGAGGTGGGAGCTTTCTGGAGTGAAGAGCTCTCCTGTGCTGAGTTCTCTCAGAAGATAGAACTTTGTCCTGACCTTCCTCTGGTTTGTCAGCTCTTGCTGCTGCCGATGTCAGCCTCTGCCTCTGTAACCCTTGCTGCTCCACACATGCACCAAGATGTCTTGCAAAACAAATCAAAGCGGATCTTTTAGTTTTAGGCTCTGACGTTCCCTTGATAGACCCAGCAGGTGTGATGGCTGCGACTCAAATTGTACCATCCCACTGCTGTCCTTCTCTCCTTGCCTGAGCTGTATTTATATTTTGGAAGGCCAAGGCTTGCTTGCAGGCTTTCCCGGCATGTGGATCCCCGCCGTGGGCTAACGATGTGGACCAGGGGCTGGAAGGTGTCTAGAAGCACCTTGTGAAGCCACCTCAGCTCCTGGTGTGCACTGAAAGCAGCTCGCAGACCTCTGAATGAAGAGCAGAACTCGGGAGGCCGAGCACAACCCTCTGCAAATCCCTGGCAGCCCTTGCCGCTGGCCAGACCGTGCTCCTCGGAGCTGGGGTTTTGTGCCTCGGGCTCGGAAATGTGCTTTTCCAAAGTAGGCTAGGAGACTCTAAAACACAATCCCTCTGAAGTTTGGTTTCAGTGACGGTTCTGTGGCAGTTCTTGCCCAGAACTGCCTGTGTGAAGTGACAGCAAAGTCTATGTCAGCTGAAGCAGAAAAAGCAGAAACACGGCTTCTGCGTAATAGCTCTGCTCCTGGTTCGTCGTCGGTGAAAAATGGACTAAAATACCCCATGGCATTAACAAAAGGAGCAAGTGTCAGGCCAACCTGATTTATTTTTTGACAAGAAAGCTGATTTTCTCGACAAAGAGAATGTACTGTACCTGATTTATTTAGATAAGCTAAAGGCAGGATCTCAGTGAGCCACTGGTGGGAGGTAGCCGTGGGAGAAAGGGGGAGATGTTATGTGTTGCCGCGAGATTTCTGTGATGCTGCAATAAATATTTCATGCAATTTTGCAAATCTCTGGGAAGGTCTCTTCAGAAGTAGTATTTACAGAGTTCTGATCATCTCTGTTCAAGAAAGATGCAGGCGAAATATCACAGGGGGAAAGTCACAGGGGAAGGAGGCGAGGCTGAAAGATCAGAGCTCGCTTAACCTGGGAAACCACGGGCTGGACAACGTCCATAGATACGGCCGAGGGGAAGCACTGTGCAGGAGAAAAGCTCAGTCCTGGCAGAAGAACAGACGACTTCTAACTGGTCTTGAATATACTGAGGAGATTTTCTTCAGCTGTGAAGTCGTCCTTCCTTGCGGATCTGTCTCAGGGTTCTCCGTGGTTTAAGCTCATTCATATTTATGACAGCGTCTAGAAACCGTGATTGAGAGCGACGCAAGGTGTCGCGAGGAGGTATCGCGAGAGGGGTTGAGCATCCATTCGTTGCACTGGGATCGGAAAGCAGCCTTTGCCGTTTTTCCAGATGTAGCTGCCCCACTTTGCTGGGTGCCCGGGGTGAGCTGAGGGTCCTGAGCTGCCCGACTTCTGCCGCTGGTGTCCATGGGATGCTCCGGTGCCAGGCTCTTTGCAGCTCCGTGTCACCAGCCCAACCATGAGATCAACCCACACTTACACAGGAGACGCCCTCTGCGATCGGTCCGTTGTGTGGCTCTGAGAACTTCTTACCGACACGTGCCTTTGGTTGGTGCCTGCTCTCAGGTGCTCTTGTGGGGCTCGGCACGGAACATGACGAAGCCGCGTTTCTCTTACGGCCGGTTTTGAATTAAAAGGGACAATTTGCCCAAGGGGCAGTGGGAAGCACGCCGCTTTACTTGATCCACTGCAAGAGCAGGAGTGGTTTGCTGGCTAGATCCACCTTGGCTTTGAGGATGAAAAGCATCAAGTTAGGCTCTTCTAGGTCTTGCTGCTTTATGTAGAGCTGGTGCCGATAATGGAAGAGCTGAGACGGTAATTGTCACAAACCGAAGGAGCTCGATTTCTTAAAGGAAAGTCAGTTCAAGAAAAAAGGTAAATCAGGGCCTTTAATCTGTCGGCTGAACTGCCTGTAGGGACCACCTTGGCTTTGAGGATGAAAAGCATCAAGTTAGGCTCTTCTAGGTCTTGCTGCTTTATGTAGAGCTGGTGCCGATAATGGAAGAGCTGAGACGGTAATTGTCACAAACCGAAGGAGCTCGATTTCTTAAAGGAAAGTCAGTTCAAGAAAAAAGGTAAATCAGGGCCTTTAATCTGTCGGCTGAACTGCCTGTAGGGACTTGACTGCTTTTCTATGTTTAGGCTGAGAACTCGGCAGCGGTGCTGGAAGGGTTTCTGCAAGTTCTTGCCGTGCAGGTAGTCATTAGCAGGCGTTTGGGGAAGCCAAACTCATAAAAGAGCCGTTAAGAGCTCTCTGTCCGTTCCTATCTCTTCTCCACTTGCATAACTGCTGCGACGGGTTATTGTCTTTACGCCCTGTGTTGCTCGCCTAAATTGGAAAGATATCTGTGGCTGTTAAAGTCCTGCCGCGTGGAAGGTCTGTAACGGTTGCAGCGCTGAGGCCTTTCTTTGTGAGCTGAAAATCTGATTTGGAGGCGAGCCCAAGTCCATTTTCAGTGCATCTCAGACGGTGGAATTAATGAACGAGGTTCAGGATGGCTCTGACAAGCTAATAAGCATATGGGTAAAGCCTGTATTTGCTAGGGCAGCCTTACTGATCAGGGCAGAATCCCCACAGTGGGCGTAACATAAACACAATTTATTTTTCTGCTAAAAAAATACATGGCTATCATTCTGAGGAGCAGCTGGTGTCCCGGGCGCGAATGGGTGATTTGTCTTGGGGATGCCTGGGCATCAGTGTTGGGATGAGTCCTTCCTGCAAGCATTAAGCAGGAGTTTTTTATATATATATATGTATACACACACATATATGTGTAGGTTTCTCGTGGGCAGAGCGAGCTCTGAACGTGCCGTGGAGCCGGGCTGTGCTCCAGGTCAGCAGGGTGCCACAGCGACCTTCTTCTGTGCCGTGTAGCTTGAAGATTTCAAAAGTGAGGGCTGTCAGTACGTCACCAGCACTAAACAATACGGAATTTCCTTTTTTTTTTTTGTTTAAAAAAAAAAAAAGTTTTAGTATTTGTGCAAGCTTTGCTTGGATTTGCATGGAAAGCCATCCGAGCCTCGAGCTGACGTTGGATCCTTTAACCGAGCAAACTTACTCTGAAACAAGAATTCCTTTGCAGGACGCCGTCGCTTGGTTTTGCCGTTTGGGGGAAGCTCCCAGCTGCGCGTCGCGCTCACCGACTCGCACGCGAGAGCCGTGCCCCTTGCTAGATGTGCATGCCCATAAACCCAGCGTGGCCACGAGGGGAGGGGGGGGCCCGTTTTTCCCAGGGGCCGGGACCCGCGGGGCGGTCGCTGGCGTGGCGAGGAGCAGAATTGGGTTGGAATGGAGGGAAATGTGTTGTTTTTCTTTTTTTACTTTGGCTGCACGCTTCTCTTTTTCTTTCTGTGCTGCTGCTGTGCATGTGCTTGCGTCGGGGAGGGACCCGGGCTGTTTATTGATTGCTGGTTTTCTGTTTTCAAAGCTGATCAGTGGTGGTTCTATTGTAAGTGCTGAGGCAGTATGGGATCACGTCACCATGGCCAACCGGGAGTTGGCGTTTAAAGCAGGAGACGTTATCAAGGTCCTGGATGCTTCCAACAAGGACTGGTGGTGGGGTCAGATCGATGATGAAGAAGGGTGGTTTCCCGCCAGCTTCGTGAGGGTGAGTGACTTTCTTCTTTTTACCACTGCGATGAATCACTGTCGGGGCTGCTCGGAAGGGTCAACGAGCTGCTTCCTACGTTTGGTATCGCTGATGCTTATTTCCAGCGCATCTGTTTTCTGTCCAAAAAGTGGGGGGAGCAAAGAAGATTTTGAAAGAAATGAGAATGGGGTGGAGGGAGACTGGAGTTGGCTCTGCTTTTTGTCCTCTTGGGATATGGAGCAGCCTTCGCTGTTGTAGCCTCTCTCCTGAAGAGGTTCTTTGACACCGGCGAGGTGCTGGGTGGGCTACGAGGAGCTGATTTGGGGGGGCCTAAAAGCTCACACCAGCTACAGGTGACCTGCATTTGGAAGAGCTTTTTGGTCGGCGCGTAGCACGAGGAGGTGTCAGCCCTCCCCTTTCCAAAAACAGGGCTGCGTTTTGACTCTTCAGCAGTTCTAGATGTAAAATTAACTTCCCTAATTAGTCCGTGACCAGCTCTGGATGTTTTTTAAGGAGACAAGGAAGCGTTTTGCTTGCCTCTGTTTTTTCTGCTGAAGCAGGTTTTGCTGTACGCAGCCACCCCCGGTGGTGATCTGGCCTTTGAAAAATAAGAAGGATTTGACCATGTATTTTTTTTTGCTCAGTATGTGTTAAAAAAGCAAAGGGACAAGAAGACGCCCTTTTTGTTATCGTCAGCTCCTGCCACATTATCCGGGCGCTCTCGAGCCTTCCTTGGGGAATCAAGACATCGGCTCTGCCCTTGTGCACTTCCTTCTCTTCACCCTCCTGTGTGGGGTTTGATAGCTGGGATCAGAGATTTAATTCCTTTCAAACCATATCCCCTAAGCTTTGAAAAATTAAGATTTTTTTTTTTGCCTTGTGAAATTGTGTGTGCACGATTCTTTTCCCCCTGTGTGACACTCATGGCGCAGCTCCGGTCCTAAGAGCAAGAGATTGATGAGTGGAGCTGGAGCCTGAGCTGCCTGTGTTGAACAAGTTTGTCCCGTTCTTCTGGCCCAGACTAACAAATCGTGTTCGTTATTTTGTGGAGGAGGAAGGACCCTGTGAGTCTGCCCCTGCAGCTGGCGGAGGTAACAACTCAGGGAAGTGGCTTTGGATCAGGTGTGATGAAGATAATCTTAGTGCAGAAAATACTCTTGCCTGTGTCACAAGCGCCTCATCTCCATTGCTGGCTGGAAAGGCTGAACTAGAGAGATCTGTCTCATTAATTTGGCTTGATTTAGAGACTGAAATGTTCTGGGCCAGTTTAACTTTTCAGTGTATTGACCAGTGCTGTTTTCTTTGTGATTCTGGGGAAAAAAGATTTATTATCCTTTTTTTGTGTGTGTGGGGTGTCGGAAATGTTAATGGTCAGGGTAGGTTTAGCAGGTTGTGTTTTGTGCTATCCTGGCTTCCAAACAGGATAACAAACAACTAAACAAACAAGCCAATTGAAGGTCTAAATTCATGAATTCTGCAGCTTGGCTGAACTTTCCATCTCTCCCTGCACTTTCCAAAGGCTGGGAGGATGATTTTAGAAACTGGGGAAAAAAAACCAAAGGAGGGGAAATCAATAAATCTCAGGCCGTTGTGCACAAATGTCTGAACGACGTCCTGGAACAAACCTTCGTGCTTACGATCCTGACAGCCTTACCAGGCAAGTTTTTTGCCCATTCTGTTTAATGTCACAACCCCGTGACTTGGTTTTACTCCAACAAAACTGAGCTCTGCAAGAGCCTGGCTCGGTTATTCCATCCGAGATAACGCTCGTTCAGTGCAGGCTGCCCTGGGACCGGCGGATGCGCTCCCCAAGGGGGAAACTGCATGGCTTTGCTGTCATGAATGATAATTGATATTTAAAAATAAGTA